AATACGAGTTGAGGAGACAATATTATATTAGTATCAGTTTAAATGACCTCGGCACCCTTCAATATAGCCCCAGCCAACCAGCTAGCTAACTTCGAGAGAACTCGCTATTGCAAACATCGACCCTTGATTCTAGCTCATGACGAGGGACAATCTCAGAACGTCTCAAAGGTAAAGAAGGCAACTTGTTTCCAAGCATAAAATGTTCCCTAGCCGGCGCCCCCCCCCCAACTTTCCCCCTTGATGTTATTCACAATATCATTGACTGAAAGTTGACTATCCGTTGGCATCTTATTAAAGCCCAGATATATTAAGTACAGGTGAAGGCACGGCATTTTACCATTCAATTGACTAGCTTGCACCCGAAGTAATTCAGTCGGCGACATCGTAAGTAGTAGTAGGACTATGATAGATCATCATTGAAGACTTTTGTATAGTTTCTAGCCTGCTTTCGTAGAACGAGAACTGGAGATGAAAATTCTCTGGCCCCCGTCGCGGCCGTAGCACGGGGAAGTTAAACACCCAGGGATCGTGAAGAAAGTTGTTCCATTTCATCTGTTTGGATTAAATGTAGTTGGCATTCCACAGACACCTTCACAGTTAGAACTCGGGGGTCGCTTGATCAACATCAACAGTATCTACAGCTGGGTCGCTTGAGATTCATCTTAAAAAGTGCACCTCGCCAGGGAATCGTTCTCAGCCGTAGGGAAACCATGCAATCCATGACTGTTTATTTTTCAAGAAAACAATCCCTCCTTGATTGTAGTAGATGAGCACTCATCAAACATCGAAACTGAGGAATAAGAGCTGCCTCTGTGTCGTTGCAAGATGTAATTATTGACTTGGTCACGTTTCACGTTTTGTCATTGTCAGCCATGAAGTTGTCAATCGGGGCAATTCTCGCATCTCGAAAGTATCACATCCTGCAAAACCCAAACTGTTAACTATACCAAGGAAAACTAGCCAAAATGGATGTACAAGTCTCACTGCAGCCGACCGGTTGTTATTGTTAACGCTTTGATAATATCATTTGAAGTGGAATGTCTGAGAACCCCGGAACTAGTTGTGACGTGCGCATCCAAGACGGGAGCATTTGTTGGCGCACAATGACCTGTCACAAGAGCTCTGTCGAGCATCGAAGTGCCTGGTTCGAAAGCTTTTCGATATTATTCTGGAAATATGAGCGAGTTACCATGGTTAATATGAAGCCACCCGCATAGTTACCATGTCACGGAATGCACCGCGCAGGATCCGATTGGTTCATTGAGTTCGAATTTCTTATCCGGGGAAATGTCCACAGACTTGCAGAAATGTTTGTTTGGATACTTCTATCCTCCGTTCAGTGATAGAGCTTATCGATTCTATGTTGAACTATTTTTATTAGTTACTCGGCTTCTCGACGACTTTATCCGATTCAAGCAATTTTGCTATCCAATATTGTGAATAATTGCTTACCTGGCAATATTGGCAGATATGGCAATCAAGGCACCCAAGCCAGTTCAAGGAGAATCGGTGATGCAGTTAAATACTAGTCGTGAATCGGTAAAACACTGATAACATGCTGAAACAGAAACATAATCTCTACGGGTAACATAACAACGCAGCAAACCCATCCAGGTTTGATATTTATAAAGTTTGATAATTTCTTGTAAGTTGGATGCCAAAGTCGGGTCCGGGGTGAAAAGATGAATCCACATTATTGTTTTGCAAGTTCTCGCAAGTTCTCGCAAGTTTGCACAAGAACAAGATCTGGAAGAACAGAAGCAGAGATGGATCCACAGATATCCACTTCAATATTCAGGCTCTTAAGAAACAGTCTTGAACAATGGCACCCGCGGAAGCATTAAAAGTGGAGAGCAAAAGCAAGATGTATGTTTCTGTTGAAGAGGAAAGCGTCTTCCCTTCAATCTTATTCCCTCTCCTGACTCTGCGAAAGTGCAGTTCAGCTGCATAGTATTGTTTGATATTGGCAAGGGAAGCCCGCAGCATCTGTTGACGATGCAATACAAGGCATTTTAGGACGGGTTGAGGGAATTGCAGCCGCAAACGGCTGACCATCTGATATTGGGTAAAAGAGATCACGACCGCTGTTGGTGGACCAGGATGTGGTCGAGAGAGCGTACCAGATCTGCTCAGCGTCAAATGATATAAGACCACATAGATGTTTGGTTTCCGTTATCAGAAGGATGCTGATGGCTGCTGATGGATGCAAATTATTTCGAAATTTATTTTCTCTCATCTTCTCCTTCAGGTATCCTAGGGGTGGACCGGGGAGACGTTATTTCTGCTGCTAATAAACTGGACAACTTGCAACCATCACAACCACCCCTAGTTATTCCAGAACTCTCCCCCTCCGCCATAATGGATGCAATTTTGCCTGCTGAGGGGGTCCATCACAAGGAACGATTCTAGCATTGCTGCCAGAACCCATGGGCTGAATGTTACGTTAGAAATTTTTCAAATCCTCCAGCCTCCAGTCTAAAGTTTCTGCACATGCCACTGGAATTCCCCAGTCCGTTGTCCACGTTTACCGCATGCTTTGTTAGTCTCCGGAGTAGATATAAACCTTGCATTTCCAAAAAGATATCAAAACAGCCTGTCACAGACTTCTGAATCCATTGGTAAGGGAAAAATGTCAAAACTCTCAACAGGGCTCATGCACAACATTAACTGGGTTCTCAAAACTCAGCAACGATGTGTACTAAGAATCCGTGGAGGAGGAAACGTGGAGGCGCCCCTGGAGGTTTTCCATCTGACTGGTAAGGCATTACGTATAAGCGCAATGTATCAGTCAATTTGTTTCATCCACGAGGCCAGCAGCACGTTGCACGGAGCAGGAAGGTCTTGGAAAATGAGCTGGGAACTCATGGTCGATTTTTGTCTCGGAAGAAATGGGTCTCCGATTATGGGGCTCAATACCCCTGAAGTTTTCTAACTGAGCAATAGAGCATTCTCAAGGAGATAGTACACTACTTTACTGGGCTCTGAAGTGTGCTGACGCTGAGGTTAGACAAAGTTATTGGAGAGATCAAGATCATGTAGAGGGCATAAGCAGGCGAGATCCGAGTATTGCGTAGATCAAATAGTCACAGTCCCAGTGGGTCGTCATCGATGAGGTCAACAAGAATAAGGTAAAAATCGGTGAACCCGATCAGAATTTAGCCGGGGACGAAGTGTATCACACTGATGAACACATGTATCTTGTTGAGTTTTTCCAAACATGATTTGCCATTTGCATGAGCAAACTCGAGGCAATCATCGACTGAGAATTTCGTTCATCACCCGCTCCGTTCACCACTGCCTCCCTAACATTGATCGATCGACTTTTCAGCGGGGGTTAAGGAGTGAATCGACCACAAATGCTATTGGGATGGCCTTCCGGATCGAAATCTCACCGTGATGTGCCGCCGATGAGATCCCCTTTTTCCCCCTTGAGGATGGTTTCCTATCGTAAACTTGGACCGATCTTCTGATAGAAGGAGGCATTCCGGGAAAAAAAAAAAAAAAA